GTTGGCACGGGGCGGACAGATACAATTAAGTATCGTCCGCGTATTGATGATACTTGATCTTGTGCTGGTGTATGATCTCACCCAGCGGCTTCATGTAGACATTAAATAGGTGGGGGGACAAGACCGAACCCTGCGGAACCCCATATTTGAGGGGCCTAGGGGTTGATCTCTGTCCCCCAACCAACACCGACTGCAACCTGTCCGAGAGGTAGGAGGAGAACCACCGTAAGACGGTGCCTTCCACTCCCACCCCCCATAACCGTCGCAGAAGGATACCGTGGTCGATGGTATCGAAGGCCGCTGAGAGGTCAAGAAGCACAAGGATAGAGGAATGTCCTCTATCTCTGGGCCCCCAGAGATCATCGATCAGCACGACCAAAGCAGTTTCGGTGCTGTAACCAGGCCTGAAACCCGACTGAAAGGGATCCAGATAATCTGGATAATTTACAAGTGAGTTTGCCCTATTTTACATTTCCTCCCACAGTTGTTAAGTGAACAACTGCAGTTGCATTTGCTCAGTTAGTAATGTGGTGGTTAAGTGAATCTCTGTTTGTCATAAGGTCACAAAAGCTGATTACATGACCCCAGGGAACTGCAAGCATCATAAATATGAATCACTTGCCAAGCATCTGAATTTTAATCATGTGACCATGGGGATGCTGCAACAGTTGTAAGTATGAAAAACAGTTATGTTACTTTTTTCAGTGCTGTTGTAACTTTGAACGGTCATTAAATGAACGTAAGTCCAGGACTACCTGTACAAAGCTGGGAAAACAGTAACCCCACACATCTAGGGAATGCAAAAGTTGGGGAAAATGTGGGAATTCACCATTTCCACATGGTCTACTGTGGTAAATGACACAAATGTGAAAAGCAAAAATGAGGGTGGGGACTAATGAATCCATCTTAGAACTATGGGAGATGGCTTCTGTTTTGATGTCTTGCCATTTACTCAATAGATCAAGAGAGGTATCAAGAAAGATGTTTACTGTACCAGTCATTTTTGCAAGTGTGATAATATGAGACCTACTGGAAGCAATGTTGCCAGTCAATACTCTGCAGATATAACTAATTTTGGCACGCCTCACCTGCACACTCAAAAAGGAGCTCGCCATCACTGACACGCCATACAAAGGCCTTGTCATCTTCACCACCTGTCACAGCAAGCGTGTTGGTTTTCGGGTCAAGACTGACACAGAAAACTGAAGCTGTGGAGAATCAACAGAACAATGCCAATAGAAGAAATCTCCTTATAAACAGATGTAGTCAATGAATTCAGAACAATCAAATCAATGAAAGCCAGAGACTGGGAAAGGACTCTTGTCCTCTCTCAGGGATTACTATTTTAAATTTATCTGTTTAAAGCTAGAACTGGATTTGTCTTTGTCACCAAATAGAAACCTAGCAAAATATTATAGAAGCCAGCTCTCCCACCCCCTCTTTTTTTGTTTCAAAGATCCAAAAGCACTTTATGGAAAGCAACAAAGAAATCTGACATAGTTCTTCAAGTGCTAATCTTTTCTATAAGAAATTTCACATGTTTTGTTGCTAAGGAATAGCTAGTCATTTAAGACATTTATTTTCAGCTTAGAATTCAGCGCAATTCATTTTACCACTTACTTCAATGGCCAAGATGGAGCTCCAGAGCAAGCTAACTAGCTAGTGGCCTGATTCACACATTAATGCAAGCCATCGTATGATTTGGTTTTAGTTTAGCTCTTATGGTTTACAACCTAAAGATCCTTATTGCCAACAGTCCAGTGGAAAGCAGAGAGAAAACCACCATAGATCCCTTTTCTCAGGCATATTGCTGTTAACTGCCAACTATTATGTGACAAAAATCCTAGAAGACTGTTTTTCCTTGAGTTTTGCAAAGTATTTATTGTATTTTTATTTAAAGTGTTTATATTTCTTGTAAGCTGGTCTGAGAGGTTTCTCTTAAACTGTGGATGGAAGTAACTATAATAAATAACAATTGGTCCATTAATAAGTACTGACACAAGTCAGCGATAGACAAGTGATTCACGCCAACCAGGATAATTGTGTTGGAGACTATTGCTCAGTGACCATTATACTGCACATATACATAACAAATATTGGTGTATATGATGTACACACCATGATCACTAAATAAATGACTGAAGAGACAGCACAGAATGTGTCTGTGTGTATGCATTTGGCTGTCACAAATATTGCCAATGGAAAATATGTTGATATACACATTCATACAGAAGCATCCATTTTTCTGATTCATGGAGAGAGATTTTCACCCCAAACTTCTTGCTCAATTCCTGCCTTGGCAGTTAATAACCAGAATCCTCCTCAGTTTCTTGATGACAAGACAATTAATTTGAAACATTTAATTTGGGAAAAAGCCTTTCCTTTATCCCTTTAATAGCTCACCTGTATGCTTAGAGAATGTGACCTCACTGTCATCATGAGCCTCCATGCCTTCTTCCACCCCCTCATCTTCCTCCCAAGCAGAGTCTTCTTCTAAATCCACATCTTCTATTTCATCAGCCAGATCATCTGCAGGGAGAGAGAAAAAGGTAATTTTAAATTACCCATCAGCCAACTCTTCTTTCTTAGAGTCATATGTGAAACAGATGTAGTAAAAAATCTCTCTGTTCTCTCACTAATCTGTTTCATCTCTCCATGAACCCTTCTAAAGAGGGAAAATAAAGCAGGCTGATTAACAGATAATAGATTAACAGACTGAAAGGGACCTTATAGGACATCTAGTCCAACACCAACGCCACCCCAAGAAACCCTACACCATTTCTGACAGATGCTGTCCAATCTCTTCTTCAAAGTCTCAAGTGATGAAGCTCCCACAACTTCCGAAGGCAAGCTCTGTTCCATTGGCTCTTTCTTCATGGTATTGGACCTGGGTACTTGAGAGAACGCCTGCTGCCAATTACCTCCCAAAGACCCATTAGATCACACAGAGTAGCCCTCCCCCGGGTTCTGTCTACCAGCCAATGTCATCTGGCCACTACCCAGGGGAGGGCCTTCCCTGTGGCGGCTCCGGCCCT